CTCTGTTTCCAGCGATTACCATCTCTCTTACCGACCTTAGGACTTTGTTGACCTCTGCCACCTGAATTGGCATACTGACTGCGTTCCCATGCTCATTTTTACCTGTGATCACGCGTTGACCATAATTCTTTATCGTGGTTCCATTTGCTGCACTGTAGTGTCGTCCCTGCTTTGACGCGTCCGCATGCTTAATGGGGAAATGAGTGCCAACTTTGGGGGGCCCCACTGCGTTGTAGGCGCCGGAGTCCACGGTGACCACGATCGTCTCATGTGTTGCACTTGGCGGCGGTACTGCGTTAATCTCCGGATCACCTCCCCGCATCTCAATTAGTCCAATTTCCTTGCATTTCGCCAGCCAACATTTTTCCTGCCTCACGCTTTTACTTATTCTTTGATCCCACTGACTAGTATGATAACGGTCTCCGTCGTACTGGTGTTCCTGATAGATCCTCCTCATGTTTACCGCGTTGTCACGCGCCGTCTTCTTTCTGGCGTAATAGGGCAGGTCCCATTTCTCGTTAACCTCCTCGATCGCAGTCTGGTCTAGCGACACGTTCATTGCTTCCTTCATCTCGACGCTGAGAACGCGCTGTGGTTGACCGAACGAGGTGGTTTGTTCAGTTTCGGCGTTTACTGCAGGCTTCTCTTGCTCAATTTCGTTGGCGGTCTTCTTGGAACCCGGGCAGTTAATGGCAATATGCCCTTTTCCGCCACACTTGTAACATTCACGCTCACTGTGCGGGGTAAATTTCCCTTGGTTTCCGTAGCTTCCTCCCCACGAGCTACTTCCTTTACCTCCCTGTTTGCCTCCGATCTTACCTTTCACATAGGATCCGTAAGTGGCTCGGTAACCTTTGCCTTTTCCGCCTTTGCCACCTTTACCTCCTTTGGTGAACTGCTTGGGCCTCGTGCAGTTCCTGGCTAAATGGCCCATGCCTCCACAATTGTAACACCTGGGGCCCATTCCTTTACCCTTACCTTTGTTTACGGCGTCAATTTCTTCATATTCTCCACCTTCACTTTCATTGGCCCAGGACCCGTGATTCCACGATCCATCCTCTGACCACCAGTTTCCATCTTCGTCAACCCATCCTGTTTGGTCCCAAACGTTTTCGGACCCTTGACTCATCTCGTTGATATTTCCAATGCCCATTGCATCCTTATTTTTTGTATCTGAGTCAAGTTTCTTTTTACGCGCCCAATCTTCACACTTTGAGTACAATTTCTGAAATGAGTCAATGTTAAGCGCGTCAGGCGTTCGCCAACATGCCTGCTGCCATTCGTCAAACCAGTCATTCGCGCGTACCATTATGGCCCTGAGCGCGGTGACTTTGAAAGGAAGAGGCAGCGAGTAATCTTTGCCATATTTCTCAAGATTTTCTGCCAATGCGCTCCATTCCTCAAGTCGGGTAACGGTGTCGGTGATCTTCTTGGGCGGTTCAGGATTCATGGCATGCGTCATTTTTGATGATAAGGTCGCTCCGGTTACTGCCGAGTACCATTTGTAAACCTTTTGCCAAGCCATGATTCCGTCTCCATCCATCAGTCCCTTTAATTTTCCTCTGGCCTCCGCGCCTTCAAGTTTCTCGTTCAGAATGTACCATGAGTCTTCTTCCATCTGAGTCTTGTCTCCTTCGGTAAACTCATATTCGCCTTTGTTGTCGTCCTCGGCTTGCTTGGCTTGACTTGCCTTCAGGTACTCGCTTGCAGTTAATCGACCGTTCATTATGCGTATGATGTCATCATCGTCCTCTTCTGGTACAACTCCGTCAAGTGTCTCCAGCTTCTTGTTTAGCATTTTCAGTGCCGGTCGGTAACTCGGCTTCACTTGGGCTAGTGCGTTCAAGAATTTGTCGCTCCAGTCTCTGAACTTCGCTCTTTCCCCACTGAAGTTCTTTAGCGCCTGTAACGCTTTATATTCGCTTATCGGTTTACTGCTCCCGTGCTTGTTTCCGCTTCCTCCTTGGATTGCTTCCGAGATCTGACCGAACCTTTCGATCAACTTTTCTTGTACTTCACTGTTAGTCTCCAACTCGGTGACTCTTTCCACCAATCTGCGGGCATCTCTTTCGAGCGCAGCATTTCTCTTCGTGATCGCTAACAGCATACTGTTGGTCTTGTGGGCACTTTGTAACATTTGGAATGCTTCGGCGTTCGATACTTTTCTTCGGTCCTGTGCTACTCGCTCGTTAATGAACGTTGCGAGCCCAAAGTGGTTTGCGAGTAGTGCCGTTTGAACGTAACTGAAGTCTCCGTTCACGTATGCTTGCTCGCACAGGTCGTTGAATCGATTCGGATCCATGTTGACCCAAGCATCTCTGTCTGCCGGCACATTGAGATTAACTGGCGGGTCGCCCTGTCCAGGTCTGGCCGCAGCTGCTGCTGCCGTTGCCATGGCAACCGCGCTCCGCTACCATGCAAAACCCCGAGGAGGGTTCTGCACGGGAGCTTGGCGACAATGATAACGATAGGTCACCTTTATACTCCCGAACTGCGCAAC